GGTTCTTAAACAATATATACTTGATACTACAGTGGATGCATTTTGTTTAAAAGTTTTTTATCTTTGGCCACATAAAGCATCACTGCATGAGTCGATTAAAGAAAGACACATGTTGAGATATGGTTCCGGCTCATGACTGATCTCTTCTGCTTTAAGTTTGAGGCATTCATGTTTGTCAGACGTACGATACATTCTAATTCAACCCCTCTAAACTTTAACAACTACAATCCATGTTTTTTGAGTAACAGTAGATTCTAATGAGGATACAGGCCTTAGCTCTTCTTCACATCTAATCCAGGACGACCAGGAGCAGTGGATGTTTTCCATTCCAAACGCTTGTTTAGCCTATGAACCTGAACATAACTAATCCTCTGTCTGGGAAAATGCAGCGCCACACAAGGCTAGAGGACGCAGCCTCGTTCTGTGATTGGACGAGAGCGTCACGCTAAGTCTCTACTCAGCACTTTTTACGCCTGAATTCATACACAGCTGAATCAACGAGCTCAAGTTTTACATACAATTTATTTGATTATAATACAACTTGTATGTAGTAATAAGCATTTTTATTAACTCTTAACAAATAAAAAATCAGGTATAGCATCTTAAAGATACACATGGACAAATGTTTGTGTAACCCTGTTAGTTTTGGCCCGTTCTATCCCGTAATGCTTTAAACACTTGTTATAAAATTAGATGTAGTTCCCGAGTTCACCAGTAGGTCGCAGCACACCGAACCATTTTGACACGCTTCTGAGTTGGCGCTTTCTCTGGCATCCATCTTGTTAAGCTGTGCACTTGGTGTTGAGACCAAACAAGAGGACCTGTGAATGTTTGAACCAGTTGGAACTTAGATGACAAAACGTTTTGAACCTTGAATATCCTGACTGGTTGTTTTGATAGACCACAAACTGGACCCGATTCCTGTTCCTGCTGGGACTGGATGATTGTTCTCCGTTCTCTCTGGTGCCTGGTTCCCTGGTCCATGGAGTAGCAGCTCACATGGGCACTGATGGAGTTTTAAAGGGGCGGAAGGACATTAATTGGAGGGCACTCAGCGTTTGTTTTATCTGGTACCAGAAGGTATTTTTTTGTAATTTTTATTTAATTTCCTGAGATCTCAGAAATAACATTGTGGCCGATCTGTACATTTATTTATTTTGAAGTTTCAAATGAACCAGTATAATCAGAAATACTAACTTGGAGTTAACCCCAAAACCTGTTCTTGTGTGCTTCATTGGGGTGAACCGGTTACTTAACTGTTGATCTATTTATAACCAGTCTCTTTTTCGAATCTAGATTCAGATAACCTTACCATAGAACCTTAGACTGTTAACTAGCAGAACCATCATCGTAGGGTTACATTTGACTTATTTTTCGACACTTTTGACAATACTTTCACTTGAATAAAACTGTATTGGTGGAATGAATCATATTTGTTTACTGAATGCATTTCTTTTCAAACCAGAGAACTGAAACCACGTTTGTTATGTTATGTAATGTGTGGAAATAGAATGGATATTGCTTTCAAACGGTTCGACAGCGCGTCCCTGAAACTGGGTTGGCTTATGGAAGACCCTTTACAGAGGATTGTCTTTGAAGCCGGCTCATTTTGATTTTGATCTAATTTAGCTTTTAGGCGTCTTGACTTATTTACCATTTCCCAAGAATACATACATTTCCATACAGATAAAATATTGACCTTATGTTTGTGACTTTGCCCAGATTTATTATGATGCGCCATCTCGTACTTCATATCAGTCCAATTTGCTGCTCATTCCGGCCCCGGCTCTTTGAAATGTGTATCCAACTGCAGAATCCTCGCTACTGATTTGCCTTCCAGTTTGTTTGATGGCCACTCTTTCTCACATAAATGATGCAGCATGTGTGACAGGCGGGCTGATGAGAAGCCGCATAGTTGACATAAGTCTTCTCTGCGCCTGCATGAACCTTGGCACCCTGCTGACCCATGCACCCACAATGCACCTGCCATGCACCCGCCATGCACCCGCTGTCAGAATGCACGCTCGGCCTAAGTCACCCGGGCTCGTCAGGGAATGACACATGCACTTTATTGGCACAAATGTAATTTAAAAGAGACATATTTTGACTGTTTTTGTGCTTTATCCATGTGACAACACTGTTCCCTAAGGCAAGATAAGGCAAGTTTACAAGCACAATTCATACACAAGGAAACTTGTGTCCAACAAAACCAGATGGAGATTCAAATCCTAAATAATCACAGGGCATTAAAAAGAGAGATGATAAAATCCCTCAGTTGTAGCACAGCTAAACAGAACTGTTTTAACCTGGATATGTTCAGAGCAGTTTTTTGCCTTTTCAAATTGTATGAAACAAGTATTGCCCATGCTTTAGTTTAGGCAATTTCACATGTGAAAGGATGTTCTTTAAGAAAACCTCTGGAGAAAGTCTCTTTGGTTGTTGCGTCTTTTTTGTTTGTTTACTTATTTATTTCAAGTAAGGAAAAAATAACACACACAGTCTATAACCTTTCACAATCATGTAACTTGAAAAGGGGATGGAGGAATTATACACTTATTTGATTCCACCCCCCACTCACACCACACTACACTAAATACACACACTACAACAATAAACAGAAACATGACACAGGCCCCAACACTCCAACCATACACCCCTTTGCCCCATACAATACATGATGGACACAATGACAGTACTCAAAAAACAGTACTCAAAAAACAGTACTCAAAAGGAGTAGTTCCAATCACAATTGCACATATTTACAATACAGTCATTTACAGTCTTGACATTTGGAATGTATTAAGTGTAATTCATTTTAAACATTGACCCATACCCAGGCCATACACACACATGTGCACGTGCCTGTCTATGAGGTCATACACACACATGTGCACGTGCCTGTCTATGAGGCCATACACACACATGTGCACGTGCCTGTCTATGAGGTCATACACACACATGTGCACGTGCCTGTCTATGAGGCCATACACACACATGTGCACGTGCCTGTCTATGAGGCCATACACACACATGTGCACGTGCCTGTCTATGAGGTCATACACACACATGTGCACGTGCCTGTCTATGAGGTCATACACACACATGTGCACGTGCCTGTCTATGAGGCCATACACACACATGTGCACGTGCCTGTCTATGAGGCCATACACACACATGTGCACGTGCCTGTCTATGAGGTCATACACACACATGTGCACGTGCCTGTCTATGAGGCCATACACACACATGTGCACGTGCCTGTCTATGAGGCCATACACACACATGTGCACGTGCCTGTCTATGAGGCCATACACACACATGTGCACGTGCCTGTCTATGAGGCCATACACACACATGTGCACGTGCCTGTCTATGAGGCCATACACACACATGTGCATGTGCCTGTCTATGAGGCCATACACACACATGTGCACGTGCCTGTCTATGAGGCCATACACACACATGTGCCTGTCTATGAGGCCATACACACACATGTGCATGTCTATGAGGCCATACACACACATGTGCCTGTCTATGAGGCCATACACACACATGTGCCTGTCTATGAGGCCATACACACACATGTGCATGTGCCTGTCTATGAGGCCATACACACACATGTGCCTGTCTATGAGGTCATACACACACATGTGCCTGTCTATGAGGCCATACACACACATGTGCCTGTCTATGAGGCCATACACACACATGTGCCTGTCTATGAGGCCATACACACACATGTGCATGTCTATGAGGTCATACACACACATGTGCATGTGCCTGTCTATGAGGCCATACACACACATGTGCATGTCTATGAGGCCATACACACACATGTGCCTGTCTATGAGGCCATACACACACATGTGCATGTGCCTGTCTATGAGGCCATACACACACATGTGCCTGTCTATGAGGCCATACACACACATGTGCCTGTCTATGAGGCCATACACACACATGTGCCTGTCTATGAGGCCATACACACACATGTGCATGTCTATGAGGCCATACACACACATGTGCACGTGCCTGCCTATGAGGCCATACACACACACATGTCTGTCTATGAGAGCATCAATCTCCCATCTCTTCCTGGTACTTACTCATTATATATCTTTTAAACATTTTTTTAAATTGTACAAGTTGTTTACATGTTTTCAATTCTTCTGGAAGACTGTTCCACAACAGTCTTCAGAATGAATTTAATTTCATGCATGTATCGTACAGTATTTAATATGATTAATAATAGTGTGTTGAAACTAAATATTTTATTAGAGTTTTTTCCCCCATTTTCCATTATCAAAATCAAAATTCACGGTCCGCCATCTTGGTATGCTTCGGCCGCCATGAGACGCGCATGCGCAGGTTCGCATTAACTTGACAAGCGGCACAACGCGACAGAACACCGGCGAGGGGTGAAGGTCCATCACATGAATGTTCCATCTCTTTAAATGTTATAGGTGTGTGTAGATTTGGCTTGATGAGGTAGCTTTCACCACCCCGTGACACAGATGTTCGGGCTGGGATTGAATAATTCAATTTCCATTCAATTTATTCTTGTAAAGCCCTAAATCACAACAGTAGTTATTTCAGAGGACTTAACCAAACCGTTTATCGCCAAAACAGATCAGAGAATGAAACAGTTCAAACACAAAGAAAAGAGAACACTAAGGTATTGGTCCATACGGGGGAGTTAGCCAATGTCCATAATGCCGTGTTCAGACCAGTGTGGGCGGGTCCCGGCTCAAAAGTGGCCAAAGTGACGTGCGCTGACATGCTGCAGTACCACCCCGGGCCTGTGGGGGTGGACCCGGAATAAGAATTAGCCAATGCTAACATATAGCATCTTCTTACCTCTCAAAAACACCTTTACAGGGTGGTCCAAAAGTTGGCTCTTGGCCCAAAGCTCCGTTCCACATCAGTCTAGTTTAGTCGCTGTGGACTTTAGAAGTCTCTCATTTAAATGAATGGAACTCGTGCAGCTGACGCATGCACAGATGTTTGGCCCATTGTCCCAGTCCCCGGTCCTCACAGTCCCAGTCCCCGGTCCTCACAGTCCCAGTCCCCGGTCCTCACAGTCCCAGACCCCGGTCCTCACAGTCCCAGACCCCGGTCCTCACAGTCCCAGACCCCGGTCCTCACAGTCCCAGTCCCCGGTCCTCACAGTCCCAGACCCCGGTCCTCACAGTCCCAGACCCCGGTCCTCACAGTCCCAGACCCCGGTCCTCACAGTCCCAGACCCCGGTCCTCACAGTCCCAGTCCCCGGTCCTCACAGTCCCAGACCCCGGTCCTCACAGTCCCAGACCCCGGTCCTCACAGTCCCAGACCCCGGTCCTCACAGTCCCAGACCCCGGTCCTCACAGTCCCAGTCCCCGGTCCTCACAGTCCCAGTCCCCGGTCCTCACAGTCCCAGACCCTGGTCCTCACAGTCCCAGACCCTGGTCCTCACAGTCCCAGACCCTGGTCCTCACAGTCGTGGGAATAACAATGAACATTGACTAGATTATATGTGAGAAGACTGAAGATTGTACAGCCTGCCTTTAGCTCCTTAAGCTTAGTTACACATGTTTCTGTTTATTTTTATTAAATTTGTTACACATGTTTCTGTTGGTTTGGCAATAAAAATGTATTTAACAGTTCTTTCTCTCTGTTGCCTCGGTTACTACAAACGTATACCCCACAAAAATACTGCATTGTATCTATGAAAGTCAGCGTAGTAAAAACTGTCAGCTGTGTCTGCGGATGCTACGCAGGCTAATGCTAATGCTAACGCATTTATTCCTTTCCTTGTTACGGTGCTTTCAGACCGGATCATGCGTTGCGTCGGGTTTCAATGCAGAGTCTATGGTGGCGTGCGTTCGCCCGTCACAACGCACGGACCTCTCGGCACGAACGGACTGTTCAATAATGATGCACAGACTTGGCGGGAAAGTGAAAAGGGAGGAGCAGGAGCGAAAAATCAACGCCCACAGGAGATGGATTCTGCTCATCCTTTCCTTGGGACATTCGTACAACAACCAATCAGAGCGCAGCAAAGTGGTCACGGGGACATTAGCGGACTGAGAGAGCAGACTGAAAATACTGTAAACAGCCAAAACAGGACCCACACCAGACTTCACCAGAACTCAAACCAGGGCTGACAATGGGGGACTCTGTGAACATATGCGTTGTCATGCTCCTGTGACCTTATGCAACTGCTTCGAGTGTGTTCGCCGATGCGGAAATTCCGTTTAATAATATGGCGCACCTCCGTGAACACATACTGCTGTTATATAAAGCCCGTGGAATGTCTGTGAGCAAAGACACGCTGCAAAGCTGCATATTGGAGAAGATCTGTACATAAGAAGCCGCTAGCATAGCTCTGTTAGCATTAGAGCCGGCTACTTCCGGTCCTTCCGGCTCGCGTCAGGACGTTCTGGTGTGAAGTCCTCTGCGTCTGAAAACTAGAGAATGCGCGTCTGGTGAGCGGGGCTTCAGCGTTTCAGCGTTGACGGTCTGAAAGCCTAATTAGGCATTTTCCCGAAAATCAACTCCATAAGTTCCCCACTTGATATGAGCAGTTGCCACAACTGTACACGCCGCAGAAAAAGAGCATTTTGACTCGGAATCAGTGCATTTTTACATTGTTCTTAATGGAGAGATTTACTTCCTGTCTCTCGGAGCACATTCGCGCCGCCGCGTGACGTCAGGTGCAACCCAGCAATTCCCTCGAAGCATCTGTTTTGTGTTGCTGTGAGACATTTAAGTGCTTTCATTTATTATATTTTGGGTGAGCTCATGAAGATTCCAGTGCTGTTCTTGTCTCGATTGTTATGGACAGTTAAATCTGAATCTAGTGTCACTTCAAATTGAACTTCTGCGCTCTGAAAGCAAAGAGCAGAAAATTAGTCTGGCATGCCGGGCTAATGCTAAATCAATATGAACAACAGTAGCTCATGGAAAGGCAAACTGACTCGGCTCAGTCTCAAATCCGTGCATGTGCTGAGAGAAGCCAGGCGGCGGGTTGTGTTAATGTGGTGTCATTCTTTGCATCAATACAGTATTTCCAATTATAGAACGGATGCTTGTGTTGGGCTTTATGAATACATCAAATGGTCTGAGTTTTTGGCCCATTACACAGTGGGAATAGCCACAGTCGCCCTGAGGCAGGCTGACAGGGCCAACAGTGCACCACCACCTTGAATCAGTCACACAGATTCATGCGGTTTGATCATTGTGGAACCAAATTATAATTTTGACTTGCCATTAATTGCATTTAGCTTCTTCAAATATGCAGCATTTCGAGAACTTCCAAGTGACAGCAGTCCAAGTTTTTGCCTGTCCTCTATCTGATAATTACAATCTGGAGTACTTACATTTTTACCTGGTTTTATAAATATATAGATACATATATAGATGGATAGATACTTTATTGATAGGAGAGATTTTTGTGTCCAGTAGCAGCAGAAAAACATCTATACAAAGTAATTAAACAAATAGATCATTCTAAAAATAACGAATGAAAGATATAAGTAACTCAAAAGGTTGATAGGAGAATTTTCTCGCAATTTAGTCAAGAAGGAGGAAAGAAAACGTGGCGGACCAATAGATGATCCGCCCAGAATAAGAACATCCTCCTTATACCTTTAAGTAAGTAAGAGTAGGTAAGTTTTTGACCGTCATTTGCTTTTGACAGAACATTTTGTCTTGTACATACTGAGAGCTGATTGGCTGATTAATTTAAGATTAAGAGAGATCCTTTATTTGTCCACAGTGGGGACATTTCAGTGTTGCATCACAGGTTATAAGCAAGGAATAGGACTCTCTTTCTCTCCTGAAAAGCTGATCTAAAGAGACATAGGTCAAACTTAAGTATGTGGAAACAAGTGTTGGAAAAGTTTGGAGAGCTCTCGGTTATTCATCGTCATTCTTTGGTGGTTTCTAAGAATTTTTCCCTGACTTGATGGAAACCCCACAGTGATAAAACAGGGCCGGGCTGCATGGCATGGTTTTCAAGTTGCCCATTGAAGTCAGGATCCTCCGGTGGTGCATCTCATCAGTCGGTCATGCCAGAGTTTGGCCCGGTGCCACGGTCTCCCCGACCTCCCTGCTCTGCAATCAGGCCTCAGCCGCCTGCTCTCTTAAATTACACAGCCGGTCTTTGGGATATGTTCTCGTTCCTTAGTCATGGAGTTTGTGAATGAGTCTGGAGTGAAAGGAAGTTAAGCTGTTAGCCCTGTCACAGTAATTATCATGGACTCTATGAAAGCTGGTGTGGCTTTCATTTGCACAATTGTGTGAGTTTTAATGTTTGGCAAGGCAAGTTTATTTGTAGAGCGCAGTCTATACCCAAAGAGCTGAACAACCCTTAGTTTGCACAGCTAAACAGAACAATTTTAACCATGATTTTAACCTTCTCATAGAAGAAGTCTGTCTCACATTTTCAAGAAGCCTGTTCCAGATGTTAGCTGCATAAATCTGAAATTCTGCCTCTCCATGTTTAGTTCTGACTCTGGGACCAGCAGGAGGCCAGTCCCTGTGCTCCTCAGAGTCCCAGCAGGAGGCCAGTCCCTGTGCTCCTGAGTCCCAGCAGGAGGCCACTCCCTGTGCTCCTCAGAGTCCCAGCAGGAGGCCAGTCCCTGTGCTCCTGAGTCCCAGCAGGAGGCCAGTCCCTGTGCTCCTCAGAGTCCCAGCAGGAGTCCAGTCCCTGTGCTCCTCAGAGTCCCAGCAGGAGTCCAGTCCCTGTGCTCCTCAGAGTCCCAGCAGGAGTCCAGTCCCTGTGCTCCTCAGAGTCCCAGCAGGAGGCCAGTCCCTGTGCTCCTCAGAGTCCCAGCAGGAGTCCAGTCCCTGTGCTCCTCAGAGTCCCAGCAGGAGTCCAGTCCCTGTGCTCCTCAGAGTCCCAGCAGGAGGCCAGTCCCTGTGCTCCTCAGAGTCCCAGCAGGAGTCCAGTCCCTGTGCTCCTCAGAGTCCCAGGCCAGTCCCTGTGCTGTTCATAAGGTTTGGTTAGTGTTGTTGTACAATGAAATACTAATGGTTTCATTGTGATATTTTAACATTGATTAAAGAAGAAAAAGAAAGAACATGATTTAAGAAAGAATTCTATGTGTGGCATTTGTTTTTTATCTATAATTGAGATATTTAAAGTTGAGAAGTCTGGCACGTCTGTGTTTGTTGTGACAGGTATTGCAATAGCTGCCATTGTTTTCCACAGTACAATATGGAAGTGTGTGGCATTTGGCATAACTTCCCAAAGAATCAGTGCCGCTCATAATCTCCTCGGAAGTGGCTCAGTTGTGAGTTCTTACCGAGCATTCCGACATGGAAGCGTCATGGCTCCGCGTTGGTGGGTCCTGTCGGGGTGAGCGACCGTATAAAGTGTCCCATCTGGATGAAATGGAAGACTTCGCAAAGGCGTGAATAAGCTGAGTTTACGGCCACAGCTGTCAGGAGTGTGGAATGTAAATATCATTCTGCTCCACCTCGTTTATCCGTTTCAGATATGGAATACTGAAACATGAGGCCAGAGTTGTATGAAATGTGCGGCAGCCTTACATTTCATCCTGGTTTGTTTTATTATCGAGACTTCCCAAATTTGGCTTCTTCTAACAAAAACAAAAACTTTTATTATTTATTTAAAATAATGAGCTAATGTCCATCTGTTGTCCCACATTCACACACACACACACTCATTCACCCTGAACTATTGTGCATGTTTTTAGTGGTAGGGGAAACCGGAGGAAACCTATGCAGACACAGGGAGAACATGCAAACTGCACTCACAAAGGCCCTGTTGCCACTGGGATTCGAACCCAGAACCTTCTTGCTGAGAGGCGAGGGTGCTAACCACTCAGCCACCGTGTCATCCATTGACTTCCTGACAGCCTTTTTGAATGTGGTCGGCCCCGCCCCTTTCCAAGTGTTATCGGTCACAATCTGCTCTCCTATTGGCTGGATCCTGGAAGGAGGAGGAATCCAGCAGCAGCACACAAACCTCACTACACTGGGGTCATTGCGTATTCATGTTTGCAATTATTTTTAGCTCCATTTTCTGCATCTATGCTCTTGTTTTTTGCATGCTTAGAGTGGACAACAAACGCAGTAACGCCTTGGAGCTATAGAGCTACAGCTAAACTAAGCAACATTGTTTGTAGGTCAATGAACATTACATATAAATATTGTTTGATTTCATTGCGAAACCTATTAAGATTAAGCCACTAATTGACAGTTACTCACTCTTTTAATTTGGGAGGTTTTATCTCCAGAGCTGCACATTGTTCTGTAGCCAATTGTACTTAATTGGACTAATGGTCACTGGGAATAACAGCAAAAACAAACCAGAGAAAACACAAAACCTCATTTGTGAATATCACTAGTTTCTCAGAGCTCTGCCAACACCTGCAAAGCCCAATATTTAATAACGCAGATAAAAAAGAAACTATTGGAAGATGGCGGCTTTGCTAATGGGATGTACTGCACGGTTGCACACTAACACTCGCCTAATGTTCATTTCCATTATCGTCCAATTTACGGACATGCATAATTTGCGAGTGTAGTGACTGCGGGACATCCATTATTGTGGAGGTTTGTCCCGAGAATCCTTGTCTGGCACGTGGCGGCGGGTATAGAGTCGGACAGATCTGCCGTGGCATCAGCGAGAGAGGCGGCTGTGAGGGATGCAGGCGGGGGGAGCCATTTTTATCTCTGACTGTGTTTTGGATTAGCCTGAGGTCTGAGGAAAGAAAGCCAACTCAGCTCTTTGTTTTCGCTAAAACACCATTGCACAGTGACTTCCACGCAGCCCTAAGACATGCGAGTAAACTTCAAAAGAATCATTCATCAGAAATATCTATGTAACCTTCTTTTCACCTGGGTGCCTTTTATGCAACCTGTCAGAGAAATTTCACAGCAAATTATCATAGCTCCCTTCCCATTTAGCGCTCTATTGTGTTTGTCGTTTTACACTCAAAGAAGTATTGGATTTAGTCGATTGAGTAAAGTTAAAATAAGACACTTTTCCCACTTAGCTCTTTCTTGTTGGATTCAGGTGTTAGTAAATTAAAGATGCTATACCCAATTTTTTTGTATGAGTTCATAAAAATGCTTATTACTACATACAAGTTGTATTATAATCCGTAATTTAATGTAAAACTTGAGCTCATTGATTCATCTGTGGATGAACTCAGGCGTAAAAAGTGCTGAGTAGAGACTTAGCGTGACGCCCGCTCTCCTCCAATCACAGAACAGGCTGCGTCCTCTAGCCTCTACAGCGCTGCTAAACACAGTAGCATGTTAGCATATCTACGCTGGGACTATCTAGGCTCGGACTATCTACGCTGGGACTATCTACACCGGGACTATCTACCCTGGGACTATCTACACCGGGACTATCTACGGCGGGACTATCTACGGCGGGACTATCTACGGCGGGACTATCTACACCGGGACTATCTACGGCGGGACTATCTACGGCGGGACTATCTACGGCGGGACTATCTACGGCGGGACTATCTACGGCGGGACTATCTACGGCGGGACTATCTACGGCGGGACTATCTACGGCGGGACTATCTACGGCGGGACTATCTACGGCGGGACTATCTACGCTGGGACTATTATTGTCTAAAAAAAAAAGACCTTTGGGCGTGTGTCAGAATTTGATGCAGAAATAAGAGACAAAGATTTTCAAGTTAAACATCTGTATTTAATTTATCTTTACAAAACAGAAATTCAACAGCTCTTAATCTGCACTATCCTTTCCCTATGGGCTCACCCTATCTGACCGACTAACAAACTGGAAGTGCCTCTGCTGACGTCATCTGGACTGGTCTCAGACTCTGGTCCAGAGTCTCATCCGCATCCTTTCTCCTCCTCCGCATCTGTTCACTTTTGTCTGAAAAACATCTGTGACAAACAGGACGCTACACTCCCTAATTATGTATTGTCTTTAGCTTGAGATTGTCGTCTCATCCCAGCTCACATTGGTACTTTCTTGTTAAGCCTAAAACGATCTCACGGTCACTTTGACATCAACCTCCTCCAAATTTCCTCTGTATATAATAAATCTCCTTGGCGCTAAACATAGGACACCTGTGTGTAGTACAATACATCAAAGAATATTGTAATCGTCAGTACATAAAGTCACTGAAATTACTATCTACGCTCGGACTGTCTATGCTCGGACTATCTACGCTCGGACTGTCTACGCTCGGACTATCTACGCTCGGACTGTCTACGCTCGGACTGTCTACGCTCGGACTATCTACGCTCGGACTGTCTACGCTCGGACTATCTACGCTCGGACTGTCTACGCTCGGACTGTCTACGCTCGGACTGTCTACGCTCGGACTGTCTACGCTCGGACTATCTACGCTCGGACTGTCTACGCTCGGACTATCTACGCTCGGACTGTCTACGCTCGGACTGTCTACGCTCGGACTATCTACGCTCGGACTGTCTACGCTCGGACTATCTACGCTCGGACTGTCTACGCTCGGACTATCTACGCTCGGACTGTCTACGCTCGGACTGTCTACGCTCGGACTGTCTACGCTCGGACTGTCTACGCTCGGACTGTCTACGCTCGGACTGTCTACGCTCGGACTGTCTACGCTCGGACTGTCTACGCTCGGACTGTCTACGCTCGGACTGTCTACGCTCGGACTGTCTACGCTCGGACTATCTACGCTCGGACTATCTACGCCGGGACCCTATACGCCGGGACCGTCTACGCTCGGACTATCTACGCCGGGACCCTATACGCCGGGACCGTCTACGCTCGGACTGTCTACGCTCGGACTGTCTACGCTCGGACTATCTACGCTCGGACTGTCTACGCTCGGACTGTCTACGCTCGAACTGTCTACGCTCGGACTGTCTACGCTCGGACTGTCTACGCTCGGACTGTCTACGCTCGGACTGTCTACGCTCGGACTGTCTACGCTCGGACTGTCTACGCTCGGACTATCTACGCTCGGACTATCTACGCTCGGACTATCTACGCTCGGACTATCTACGCTCGGACTATCTACGCCGGGACCCTATACGCCGGGACCCTGTACGCCGGGACCGTCTACGCTCGGACTGTCTACGCTCGGACTGTCTACGCTCGGACTGTCTACGCTCGGACTATCTACGCTCGGACTGTCTACGCTCGGACTGTCTACGCTCGGACTGTCTACGCTCGGACTGTCTACGCTCGGACTGTCTACGCTCGGACTGTCTACGCTCGGACTATCTACGCTCGGACTATCTACGCTCGGACTATCTACGCCGGGACCCTATACGCCGGGACCGTCTACGCTCGGACCGTCTGCGCTCGGACCGTCTGCGCTCGGACTATCTACGCTCGGACTTTTGTACGCTCAGACTATCTACGCTCGGACTTTTGTACGCTCAGACTATCTACGCTCGGACATTTGGACGCTCAGACCATCTACACTCGGACATTTGGACGTGAAACTAGGGGTAATCTTTCAGTTTTATATTGTGTTAGCAGTGCGTTGCTTTTGTACCATTTCATCAGTGATTGTTGTACAGCTTAAGTTGTGCTAATGCTAATGTTAGCATACGGATCAGATCACAAATAAATCTAGATGGCTCCGTGGGAGGAGAGCGTAGGGGACATGAAAAGCCTGTGAGCGAGTTGGGGGCGGGGCAGAAACTGGTATAGCTCCTTTTAAGTTGATGTGGACAGTCATTTATAACCAACTGCATAAGGCTGGTAAGATGTAAGTGTAAATAAGCTAGTACAGCTATATTAGCTTTCTCATCAGCGGTGACCGTGTGTCTTTATCAGCTGTTGTAACCGGATTTAACCAGATCAATCTAGCGGACCACCACCTAAAGATGTGTTAATTAAGCAGCACTACCTTCTTTACACTTTAGTCTCATTAAAAGAACCTTCTTAGCCTTAAACATAAAAAAGACATTATTCACTTTTACATTTCCTATTAAATGCCTATCTTCTATGCATCATTCCTGGACTAATGAGAGACTTGAATAACCACTGACGTTTGACTGATGTTTCCAATATTATGAAATCTGAATCAATCCCTAATTGTGTTATGTTGTCTCTTCTGGACCACATGTTATTTATGTTGGGTCTATCAGGAAGTAGAAATGCTCTGTTTACACAAAATATGGGTCGTTGTTTTCAGCTGATGTAATATTCTGTGTTTTTCCTGGAGGATGTGTCTTAGCATCCCTGCATCTCTTCGCAGCTGGCATCTCTGGGTGAAGCCCTCTCCTTCCTCTAAATAAACAAGCGTTCATCTGAGCTCGGGCTGACACTGCTTCATTCACAGCTGTGTGGAAGCGCGGCAGCTGCAGCCTCTGCTCTTTACCGCCAGACAAATGGAGGCCCATTACCACACACGGCACACTGGTGACTTCTCAACAGGTCTCCCCAGTGCTTATTAAAAGAAGCTTATTTGTGTTCTTCACGTTTCTGTTTCGAATGGAGCATGGCTGTATAGACCCTGTGTAAGGGGACAGAGATCCTTGGAGCCTTGACACACTGCCAGTGGATGGAAATGATCAGATCTTTTCCCATGGGAGCATGAATAATTGTGTCTGAATGTGAAAACTCAAACACACAAGGGTCCTAGTGTCTTTCCAGTGTCCAATGAGTCACAGAATAACTAAACATGGCTGCGGCAGGACATCCAGAGAAGCATGTTCCTGCTGCTCATGACAGAAATGAGCTAAAGTCCAACAGATGGTGATATAACCCGAACGAGTGAGTGATGCAAACCCGTCCACGGTGTTTACAGCAGCAGCGACATTACCGCGATAGATTTACTCTGTTCACATCTGTGTCATTCGCCGCTGATGACCAGGAACCCACATTCATCTCACTGACCGTAACTCACCGCGATAATCATATTTTCTGCTCTGGAAAACAAATAGGTGCAAATGGGTTTTGTGATTTGCAGATGTTCATAATAGATCCTGCTCATCAGGGAGAGGGCAGGGAAATGTTATCCTGATTTCTCATTTGTGTAACTAAAAACACAGGA